AAAATAAAATTCAAAAAGGCCCGTAGTAGTTTTGTTTGTACCGAGCCAAATTCTAAAAAAAAAATCCAAATATTTTTTAGGGTCGGACCATATTCGACTTAATATATGCGGGTTTTGCGGGTTTTACGGATTTTGGATCAGACCGTATCAGCTTAACCCGATTGAACTATTGAAAGAGAAAAAGGAATATTTGTGTCCATGTTTTTAAGAAAAATACTAAATAAAACATGGGTTATTGGGTGTAATAACCAAAACGTTTTTTAATCTATAATCTAACGAGTTCTACTTTTCTCTTTCAATAGTTTAATCGGGTTAATCTGATACGGTCTGATCCAAAATCTGCAAAACTCACATATATTAAGTCTAATCTAGTCCGACCCTAAAAAATACTCGGATTTATTTTTTAGAGTTCGGCTCAGTACAACAAAACTACTACGGGCCTTTTTGAATTTTATTTAAAAAATTATAATAAAACTAAAAAAAATATTTATCAAAATAAATCTAGAAGTGCCCTTATATTTTTATCAAAATCCAATTTATATGCGGGTTAGAAGTGCCTTTATTTATCAAATACACCAGATTATACTTAATACTAGTGATTACCCACGCGTTACGTGAGATTTAAAGTTAACATGGTAAAATATGCAATAATTTATAATGTATTGATTATTTGTGTATTTATCATATAAATTTAGTGTTTAAAGTAAATAATTATCTAAATTAGAAAACTAACCATTTGCACCAAATTATTGTACAAATACAATGTTATAGGCAAAAAAGAGAAAAGACTCTTACAACATAAGAAAACACCTTTGTTAACACAAATCCTTAACTTGTATGTATTTATCTATATTCACTACGATTTCCTAAAACAACGATTGTAAAAATCTATTGATTAGACATGTTATAATATATTTTGCTTATATAGAGAATCTGCATATCCTCAACAGAAATGTTGGAATGCATCTTTCAGTTTATTTTATTAGAATCTTGAATCATAATGAGAGAATAATTGATGTTTGATTGTATTTGTATCTCACTTTATTTGTCGATTTGCTATGAAATTTATCTTTCACATTGATTCATTAGTACTTTTCTCTAGATTTACAATTTGTGGTGGAGTAAGGTTTTCTTTCGAAAATCTTGGTTAGGAGAGTTATTTTATCCAACATAACTTTTTTTTTAATTGTATTAGGAAGTTATTGGTAAATTGGCTTTAAAAACTGTGAAAACATTTAATAAAACGTTATACATCTTAAAACTTTTTTTTAGATATCACATATCATCTTTTATTTTTCATGTTATGCAGATTCTTTTCTCTAGATTTACAATTTGTAGTGGAGTAAGGTTTTCTTTCGAAAATCTTGGTTATGAGAGTTATTTTGTCCAACACAATTTTTTTATTGTATTAGGAAGTGATTGGTAAATTGGTTTTAAAAACTATGAAAATATTTAATAAAACGTTATACATCTTAAAACTTTTTTAAAAATATCACATATTTTAAAACGTTATACATCTTTAGATTTACAATTTTTGGTGGAGTAAGGTTTTCTTTCGAAAATCTTGGTTAAGAGAGTTATTTTGTCCAACACAACTTTTTATAATTATATTAGAAAGTGATTGGTAAATTAGCTTTAAAAACTATGAAAACATTTAATAAAACGTTATACATCTTAAAACTTTTTTTAAAATATCACATATCATATTTTTTTTTTTCATGTTATACATTTTTATTAAAATTTATCTTCGCTGATTTTTGTTTTAAAATCAGAGTTACCTATATAAAAACCAAAATTTTAAGTTTTAAACATGTTTTTGTATAGTATACTGTTTAATTTGGTAAATAAAATATATATTTTATATAAATATTTATTTAAGAACTGCATAAATGTGCACAAGATAGTTGAATGTAATTTGTTGGAATTAATTTACATAAGAGTTGCCTATTAAATTGATAAAGTTATTAAAAGACATTTAATTTTTCATTTTTTAATAAATAAATTAAAAACCCAAATGTCAAAAAATTAGATGACATATGGTAGTTTCTCGTGACTTTGGTTTTGAGAAAACCTTAAAATAGTTTTAAACTTTTTTGTATAGTATAGTGTTTAATTTGGAAAATGAAATCTATATTTTATATACATATATTTACATAAGAATTACATAAACGTGCATAAGACACTTAAATGTAATTTGTTAGAATTAATTTATATAAGAATTACCTATTAAATTGTTAGAACTAATTGATAAAGTTATCAAAAGACATTTAATTTTCATTTTTTAATAAATAAATTAAAAAGCTAAAAGTCAAAAAATTAGATGACACATGGCAGCTTCTCATAACTTTGATGTTGAATAAACCTTAAAATATTATATTAGATAGTTCCTTCCCGAGTCGCTCACTTTACTAGTAATTCAAATAGTAAATGAACCTTGGTTTCTTTCGATTTTCTTGTTTCCGGCTTCTTTTTTCTTTTTATATATAATTGTTTTACTCCAATTTGTTGTCTTCTTTTTACTTGATTTCTCATTTTTTTTTTTTGAAACATAGTTGCTTTCTCATTATTCTTGTTTTCTTTTAATTTGTTTATATTTCAATTGTTTATTCTTGTTTTCATGTATAATAAACCTTAGATTCTTGGTTTTTTTGGATTTTCTTGGTTTTCATTTTTTTTTTAACAATTGTTTAATTCTCCAAATTTTTGACCTTTTTTTAGCTGATTTCTCATATATATATTTTGAAAAAGTTGATTTCTCATTTATTCTTGTTTTCTTTTGGTTTATATTTCATTTGTTTTCTTTAAATTTTATCGTATGATAAATTTTGAATATAGCAAAATGTCTGAGAGGCACATGTAGGCTAGTGGTTGTCTATCTCTGTTGCCATCTCACCTTGAGGAGATCGAGTCCACATTCCTCCATGTGTGAGGAGTGTCTTTCCTCTCAATGAGGGTTGTAAGGGTTATTGGTCGGTCTGTTGTGACCCAGGATGACAACAAAAAAAAGAAACAAAATGCCTCAACCGTATCTTTATTGCTCGACAGCCAATATAGTAATATATGGTATGTTGTTTTAAATTATACGTTCTTATACGAGAAACATTCTAGGCTAATTTTGCTTAGATGTCATTACCACAAATTTTTTCATATTTCATATTTTTTATTTATTTAATTACTCTATACTCATTACCAAACACATTTATTTTTGAATTAACTTATTTTGATTATTCTTATTCCAATTGCCAAACACAATAAAATAATTCTAAACTTGCCAAAAGTAAAATATTTTAAAATCCTAAACTTGCCAAAACTTAAATATTTCAAAAATTATAGACTGAAATCATATAATTGAATTTGAATAAAAATTAACATATAATTCCAAGTTTTAATTAATTTGAAAATAAAATAAAAGTTAATTTGATTATCTTTTGAAAATCTATGAGCATGTAAAACAATTTTTC